CCCTTCTCCCCAGATGGCAGCCTGCGGCAAGTGCAGCTGGGCTGATGGCCGAGTGGTGTGATGTGCCCAGTGTGGGTAGTCCGGGCAATCCAAGCCAGGACTGCTTTGCAAGCGGGGAACCCCTGAGAACTGTCTGTCCGGGGTGGGGGTCAGGACCCTTTAAGCACAGCCCTCGGCTAGCCTGAGACAGCATCTCCACGCTCTAAGTCCTCCTCTGATGCCCTGCCAGCACTGCTTCCGGCCATCCTTAAGCCCGGTTCAGGGTCCACTTAATGTGGACACCCTAGTTCGAATTAGCAAAACGCTAATTCGAACTAGTTTTTTAGTCTGGATCCGTTAGTTCGAATTAGCTTAGTTCGAATTAACTAATTCGAACTAAGTTAGTTCGAATTAACGTTGTAGTGTAGACATACCCTGAGTCTTTTGTCATTCATTTGAATGGGACAAGGATTTCATCCCTAGATGATATTATATTGCACATCATCTTTAAGTATTTCGTTCTGGCCAATGATTCTTCACCATTAAACTTATTCTATGTATGTGACACAGTGTGGTTTATTGATTCTATTGTCAACACTGCCACAGCCTTAATCTACAATCTTGGGGCAAGTCAATTAACCTCTCTCTGGGCCTCAGTCTTCTCATCTATATCAGATACGTAACATTATGTACAAACAGTGCTTGCATACCCTTTTATGAAATACTTTATACATATGTAAAGTAACTTAATTAGTGTTTTCCTTTGTGTGATATAACTGGAGAGAGAGTAATAAAAAGACAAATAACAATTTAAAAAAACAGAGCCAAAATGTAGCAAGACTGACTGCCTTTACAGTGTTTCAGTCTGAAGCTAAACCAGCAAAATGGCAGAGCCAATAAAATGTTGTTATGAACAACATGAGACACTAATACAATCTAATTCTTGAGTGTGCAGATGAAAAGGGCATAAAGTGTTCCAGGTCTAATTCACTTTCCAGTGAATAATATTGGCCTATTGTCAATTCTTTAAAACAAAGGAATATTGAAATCATATATTGATAACCTTCTACCTTCCATTCGTGAGCAAGTGGTGTAAGTGATACCTGAGTGAATTTGCTCAAGCCTTCTGTTTCTGTTCAGAAAGGGTATAGCACCAATGTGTATCTCTATCTTTTCCCATTTGTCTGTTTGTTTACATTATAAACGCTGAGTATTTGTAGGAGTAGCTTTTGCTCATCAGAACACTGGAATAACATGAACTAATTCTCCCAAGAAATATAGTACAGGAATATTATCCCAAACTTCTAGATAGGGAAACATGGTAACCCCAGTTCCTCCAATGGATTTTCCAAAAGCCACAACTGAAGTTAGCATCAGAGCCACCCTTAGAACACAAGCTCCTGGCTGCTAGTCCACTGGAGCATGCTTATTTGTGCTCATAACCAGCAACGAGATCAAATATGCAAGTCTCAATTATGCAAATCATAATTCTCTGCACTAACTACAATCAAAGTAATGAATTAATCATAATCTTCACTAACTAGAACTTGTTTAGTCTTTCCAGGTGGCAAGCTGCTCTAGGGCAACACCACTGGAATCTCATGTATCTTCTATTATTTGTAGCTCTTTTGTAATGTTTACAGAATATTATTTGCTTCATAATAATGCCAACTGTTTTCTCTCTCATGGTGCATTATGTCTTTGTTATTGCAACAGCTGTAGAAACATCAGGACAGATTTTCTACTGGTGAAATTCAGCATAAAGTCTATGGAGCCATGCTGATTTACACCAGGTGAGGATTTATCCTATGAGATTTAATTTGCATTGGCTGAAACTCAAAACTAGGCAAAAATGCACTCAGTCCACTCACCAAGAAAAATCCATTCCTAAATTCCAAGCTTGAAGACTCTCCTACAATCCTCCTCGCAAACTCTCTCTAATCTTACCTGCTGAAATGGAGTGATGCCAGCCCCTCTTTGTTGTGCTTATCAGTGGTGCTACCCATCTCCTGGCTGCTTGGATTAAAAATAAAATCTGAGCAAAGCTGCTGAATTTTGTCCTGCTTAAGCAAAGGTTTCTCTAACTTGCCTAAAACAGAGGTATCAGGTAGAGAAGAAGAATAGTCTTGTATTAAGGCACTGGACTGGGATTCAGGAGATCTGGCTTCAATGTCTGCCCCTGTCACAGACTTTCTATGTAAACTTAGACAAGGCAATTGATCTCTCTGAGTTTCAGCTGTCCATCCTATGAAACAGGGCTAATGCTATTTTTTTCATCTATTTAAATTGCAAACTCCTTGGCCAATTACTGTCTCTTACTATTTGTTTACTCATCCCCTAGCACAGTGGTGCTACACTTTTCTGCAATAATAATCATCATTACTGCCAGAGTGCTATGATGCAGAAACATAGAAAAATCACCATCAACACTAGACAAGCCCACTAGCACTTTAAAAAAAAATGGAGAGCAGAAAAGTGCTCCATGAGGCCAAAAGCAGTTATAAAGCCTGAGAGAGAAGGAATCTTATTCAAAGCTGGGCTTTATTTCCATGAAGGCCCTTAAGCTACTCCCTATTTAATTTAGTATCATGTTAATCTTTCACATTAAACTACTCTGTTTTGTTAAGCATGATAGACATAATGATCCCAAGTAACTGCTAACATGTTACTCTAATCCTAATGTACTCTTTGGCTTACTTACTTTTCCTTTGGCATATGTCACAACTGTGCTTGTATTGCTTCTGTTTCAAGTAATTTTCTGATTCTTATCTTTCTATTCAATTCCTATTGCCAATACTTTTATTATTGCTGGTATTAGCTTATTTCCTGTACTGGCTTTTATTCCTTGCTCTAATACGTACCTTTCTATATTGGCCTATGTCTTTCTGTTATCCATGAGTCATAGTCCAATCTTGTTTTTCCTCTACAAGAGTTTGTAGATCACTCTGCAGCAATGCTGGGGACGTGCAGTGAGGGATGTGACAAAGGTGCAGGACAATGACTGGTAGTCAGCAGTAAGAACTGCCCAGTCTCCAAGTCAGTGATCTGACCTCATCCAATGAACTGTGACAAAATGTGGGCTCTGCTTGTGCCAGCCTTAGAGACCAGTAATTATTCATCTAAATAATTGCAGTATCATGCAGTTGCTCATGTTTTGTTTTTAGCTTCATGAATTTCAGAGGAGAAAGGAAATGTATAGCCACTTTCATGAAGAACAAACAGATCACAATGAATAAAGGGGATATAAAATGTATAAAATAATCTGCATTCTTCTATCTAGACACCAATATGAAGATTTATGAAGATCTTTCCAAAGCCTTCTTGACAGTTTTAATTAAAATAAAGAAATCAGTGGCACTTTTCATTTTGGCTGTTGTAATGGGGATCAGAGGTTGTGTCTGAGTTTACATCTAGTGAAAAATCACCCAAAGCCTTGATAAACCAAGTTTCATCTCATTAGCTTAATTGTCCCCACAAATGCAAATAGAAAGAAACTGGATGCCAGCCCCTTTTCTCAACAGAAAATGCTATAGAATTTTGGTAAATGGCCATATTAGATATAAGTAATACCAGTTAACCTCTAAGCATGGAGATAAATTCCCACTGCTAAAATGCTAGAAACAATTAGGAACAAAATCTCATCTTCTGAAACTAAAAGAACATCATCATGACAAAAGTAATGTCATTATTTTTTTTAATTGTTCTTTTGTATATTATTACCAATATCCTATATTGCTAGTATACACAAATAAATCTTTTTTTTTGGGGGGGGGGCAGCCTGGAGAATGAATCTAGACTGCTCAGTTTCACTCCTGCGGTTTCTTGTACTTCAGTACAGTTGTGTTATGTTTCAGTTCAACAGTGGAGTGAGAGCATTTCAATAGCATTTCAATTAAAACAGCTGTTTTCACTGAAATAGAATTATTTTATGACACATTTCTATTCTTATTAGGGCTTCTCACCTGATCTTTGGACATTATGAAGGTTTTTAATATCGCTCTCTTCTCCTCAATATCATCTACTACTTTCAGATTTAAAAACCCAATCTCTCCAAACCATAGAAATGTAAGTCTGGAAGGGACCTCAAGAGATCATCTAGTGTAATCCCCTGCACTAAGATAGGACCTAAGTATTCTTACACCATCCCTGGCAGTGTTTAAATTGAATTAAGACAGGGTAATTTAGAGTAAAATACATCATAAGGATGATATAATTATCCAAAATCCAAACACTGTAAATCCAGGAAATTTAAAACTCAACTGATGTTATGCAGTTATCGTAAGATTGTGATTAAGGTATTTTCATACTTTTGTATCAGGTTACATTAAACAACATTAAAAGTCACATTTTCTCCCTCATGTTGTAATTAAAGGGCACAACTGAAGTTACCCAAAGATTGAATTGCTTGAGTGCCTTCACTGCACTGTAGGTCTGAATTATTTAAAAGTTAAGGTTAACTCTGAATTTCCTGGGATCATAGTGCTTAGTATGGGCACCCACAATTTTAAACTGGGAAAAAAAGAAGAATTCCTTCTTTATTCTGGTTAATCAGGCACAAATCCTTTACATGTGGACATCCTAAGTCTGATCCAGCAGTATATACATTCGGAGTATCCTGAAATAAGACTAATAATTTTTTAAAAAAAAAGCCCAACAAAATCTCCAAAAGACTTCTGCCATCCTCGTGCAAGTTACTCAGAAGGAGATTTCCAAATGGACAAAACAGGTGTCCTATTCCCACTGAACATCAATAGCAGCTGGGAATATAATTCTCATTAGTGCCCATGAAAATCTCCCCCATTAATCTGTTTCAAAGTAAAATGTGAATAACAATAGCTACTTACCTCTTCAGAAGGATTAAAAGGCTTAATTAGTTAACACATTAAATGTGACCATTATTGTTACCATCAATCAATAAAAATAATAACTTGATGATCACAGTTAGTTTCAAGTGTTTTATTTCTCCTTCCTTACCTGCTGCCAGGTATTCCCACAGTCAGATGTTATGTACATTTCTTCTTTATACTCAACAAGCTGAGAGCCCAGATTACCTGGACACAAAGAAAGCATACAAACAAACAAACAAACAAAAGGTGAAGCTTGCATTTAAATAGTACCTCTCTCATTATATAGTCACCTCTCCTTAGCAAAATAATCAGGAAAAAAGATGAAGATTAAATCAGTGGGACAAATTCTGCTCTGGGATCCTTTACTGGCTCTAGGCTGGTTTCAATGAGAGTTACAAGTTCACACTGGCCCTAGATGATGAAGTAGAATTATTTTATTTTCAGCAGTAACAATAGTTAATATAAGCTGTGCTTTTATTATGCATTTTAATGGCAACATTATTGTTTGTTGAGAGATGAATAGTAAATGCAGGATGAGAACAATCAAGTTAATCCATCTGATTGAAATTGACTGCTCTGAGTAGTAACAGCACAGTTTGTGAGAGGCTGTGTCATCTTCTTTCTTATTTCTCTCACCTTCTCCCTGACCCAACAACTTTCTCCCTGCACCTGGATTCTCTCGCTTTCTCTCTCTCTCATTCCTCATTCTAATTAGAGCCCATCTCCAACTCTACTGCTCCTGTGGGATGAACATTGAGAGAAGCTGCTTCTGCAAAAGTGCCAGATTGCTGCCACTCACCAGATAGCTCGCCACTCTAGGCTCCATACTTTATCTAACCACCTACTATAGTTTCTCCTATTCCTATCTTGGGGGAGGGGTTGTTGGGGGGTAGCAGAGTAGAACACATTCACATCATGAGTCCCAACCACCTCTAAGTCTACGTCTAGACCGCAGGCTTCTTTTGGAAGAAGCTTTTCCAGAAGAGACCTTAAGAAAAAACTTCTTCCGAAAGAGAGTGTCTACGCTGCAAAAGCGCATCGAAAAAGCGATCTGCTTTTTTGAAAGAGAGCTTCCGCATTGATTGGATGCTATCTCACATTTAAACTGTGATTACTATGGTCACCAGGGCACCTGTACTTTTTCCTCTTTCCTCTTCTTTTGAAAGAATTCCATCTTCCTTGTCCACACACCCCTTTTTCCGAAAGAGCTCTTTCGGAAAAAGGCTTCTTCCTCATAGAAAGAGGATTACCAATGCTGGAAAACCCCTCTGTTCATTCAATTTCCTTTCGAAAGAATGCGATTACAGTGTGGACGTAATTGAAGTTTTTTTGGAAAAATGGCTGGTTTTTTAAAGCTCTCTGTAGTGTAGACATACCCTAAGAGTTCACCAATTTACTTCTTTTTTGACACATTGCCCCACAACGGCATCTCCATTAAACTTAGGAAAATGGTCAGTCCCTAAGGATTAAAAATTGCCTCTTGCTGATTCTTCAATAAACTACATTTAGTGCTATTATTTATTAGTATTATTATAGTATCCCTTTGATCTGCCCTTTAGTTATCAGAACCGATTGTGCCAGATGCTATATACACATATAACAAAAATAGATTCCTGTTTAAGAGAGCCTGCAATCTAAGTATGGAACAGAATACAATAGGTGGATCGAGTTGGACAGGAGTAACACACGCTAACTGTGATTACTCCGATGGACATATTAAGAAATAATCACTATATTTGGCATACAAATCTCTAACTCAGGCTGTGTGAATAGTTTTTGAGGTTACCTTGGCAGAAGTTCCGCACAAAATTAACAAACAAAAATTAGTGATTTTTTTTAATTTAGTTTGTTCATGCTAAAATAAAAGGAAAATGAGCATTTATTCAAGATCTATGCCTTTGCAGCCCATTCTCTTGGTATACTTGATGCCAAATCTCTTACAGCATTACATAAAGTACCATTTTAACCTCTTTATTCATCTTGAACAACTGTTCATGTTTTTTTCTGGCTAATTATAGTAAGTGGTAGGAATATTAGAAGGAAGATTTATAGCACTTTAAAACAATAGTTTGGCATTTAAAAACTGTGTAAATTAAAAAAAAAGATTCTGAACTAGGATCATATTTCTTATTCTGAAACAGGCAAAAAGCTGCTCGGCATTTTGACAATAAACAATGGAGAGCAGCAGCTAGTCTTCAGACGACTGCTAAGCAACCTTGGGGCATAAGATTTCAACAAGTACAGTTCTGAATGCACATCTCCATCATGTGATAAGCTGTTCTTCAAATAGCAAAGCGTTAAACTGCCACATTATAGTAAACTAGAAGAGAAGTGATCCCAGTTTGCTTTTGTACCCAAGTGATACTATTGAGTGGATTTTGCCTTAAATGTATGATTTGTATGTTCTTATGGAAAAAAGATGAATTATGTCAGATATTTTTAAGTAAAAGAGACATAAGAAAGGAATACACTTGAGATTAGTATAGTATTGTGAAATTTTACTAATCTGCTATATAAACAAATGTGTTAGATATAAAAAACTATATATTTAGAGTTTATTCAGGAGGAAAGAGACTTGAGAGACTGACAGAAAACACTGCCCAAAGTTATATGCAGAGCCCTACAAATCCATGGATATCTGCTTTGTACGTGCAGGTATCCACATCAGTGGATGTAAAGGCAGATAATACAAAGCTCATTTTTGCAGCTACAGATGTAGATACAAATTTTGTATCTAGAACCCTGAAAATTTATATCTGCAGACATCTGTGGATGTGGATGCAGATATCCGTGGATCATTTTAGCAGATGCAGATGTGTATGCAGGGCTCTAGATATATGTTCCACTTAGACCATCAAGATTATGAATACTTGGCTCTTTAACAGGTTAACTTTACATTATTTAATCCAAATTACAGCTAAAATGGCTTCATAAAATTCTTTATATCAGAGAATTTGTGGCAGCTGGCCTAATATTGGCATTTGGCAGGGGCTGTAACTGATGCTTCACATCATCACCAATCCCCCCTTTAACCTCACTTCATCTTGAAAAAAAAATCAAATACAACAAAACAACCCATCCAATTCTTTGAGAGGAAATCTCCTTCTTGACCCTTACAAAGAAAGTTGGCAGACTTCAATTTCTATTTTAAGTTTGAAGGATAATAACATATTGTAAGCATTTTCCACAGCTGTTTAGCTATTTAAATTTTCACATTAATAGGAAAATATAGTGGGGATCAGACAAGTATTTAGTTGAGAGTAGACTGTTATATTCAATGTGCTAAAGGATTATAAACCGTTAAAACACAGATTGTTACCATCATATGTCAAATTGGGTAAAGTACACATTCTCAAATTAACAAAACATACCTGTTCGGACTATTCATTTTCTTCACATATTCATTAATTACTTCATTCATAACAAGACTTATTCAAATATCTAAAGCACTGGATTTTAACTCTAGTAAGTTCTCAAGCAGCATTTTTCTTACTTTGCCTATTTGTAAATTTGGATGATTATTGATGGAAATATTTTTGTCTGTGGATGTATGGTGAAATCTAAGTTTACTGACATTTACTGATAAAACTAGTCTACTGGCAATCACCTGAGATAATGAAGCATGAAATTTGATTACTCTATCCATGTTGGGCTGAATTCACTTTCCCATGCATAATGCTCAACTAACCAAACTTTGTAAGGGTGAATTGCATGTAGGATTTGTGATTAAGGGAATAAATTCAGGATCAGAGATCAGTCATGTGTTTAGTTCCCCCTGGACATTATGAGATGGAAAAGAGTCGCCCTGTCTACTACTTGTGTTGTGTGCTAAGTCCAGCAAAAACTACAGGACTCTGGAAGATAAAGTGAAGGAATTGGGGTGCAGTTGTGTTCCTGGCCATCCTCTAAGTTGTGGGCTTAGGACTACAGAGGGACTTGCACATCTTGGAGATGAGTGCATTGCTGTGAATATGGTGTCAATGGGAGGGCTTTAGCTACCTCAATCATGAGATGCTCTTCTGGAAAGAAGGTCTGCTAGGAAGAGATGGGATCTGACCATCTTTGCACCAGTGTACAAACCTAGTGAGGAAGCTTTAAACTAGGTTCAAAGGAGGCAGGTAACAAAAACTCATATATGAGTATAAAAAAGGTAACTTTAACAGAGAGCTAGATGTTGGGAAAGAAATGGAAAATTACAACAGGGTAAAGGTGCAACAAAGAGGGCAATCAAGGGGGAATCAACTCAACATCTTAGATGTCAAATGCAACCATTATGGGGAATTAACAGAAAGAACTGGGAGCATTAATATGTAAGCTAAATTATGCCTTAATTGGCATCACAGAGACTCATGGGATAAATCTTATGACTGGGATATTGATATAGAGGAGTATAGATTCTCCAGGAAGGAATAACAAGATAAAAAGGGAGCAGGTATTGCATTACACATCAAGAGGTCAAAGACGATGTAAAAGGTAGGCTAGTTAGACATCCCTGGATAAAAACAAAAGGGATAAAATGTAGGGGTGATGCTCTGGCAGGAGACTGCTACACACCACCAAATCAGGAAAAAGGGGTGAATAAGGCATTTCTAGAAGAAACAACAGAAATATCCAAACCACAAAATTGATAGTAATGAGTGATTTTAATTACCAGACATCTGTTGGAAAAGTAATACAGCAGGAAATAAAAGTTCCAGTAAATTCTTGGAGATATTGGGACAACATTTTGTTTCAGAAAGTAGAGAAAAATAAAGGGAATAGCCATTTTAGCCATTTTAGCCTTGTTTATGACCAAAGAACTGCTAGCAAATGAAGGCAAAAGGCAGTTTGCATGAAAGTGATAATGAAATTATCATGATTGATCATGACAAGTAGATTTAGCAGACTCACAGAACTGATAGGTAAGATCGCACAGGAAGAAAATCAAAAGGAGAAGCTGTTTGAGAAATCTGATATTTTCTCAAGAAGACAAGATTAAAGGCACAATTCCAAATTATCTCAAAGAAAAAATAGGAAGAATAGAAAAAGACCAACATGGCTGCATCAAGAACTGTTTAATGACCTGAAATAATAATAATAAAAAAGTCTCCTACAAAAGGAGAAAGCATGGACAAATTACTGAGGAGAACAAAGGAGTAGCACAAACATGTAAGGACCAAGTTCAGAAAGGCAAAGGCACAAAATAAGTTACACCTAGCAAAGGA